GCGGGGCTGGCCGGGGCGGTGGGCTAGGGCCGGCCAGGGTGGCAGGACTGGAGCCGGCCATCATGGCGGGGCTGCAGCTGGCCAGGGCGGTGAGGCTGGAGCCGGACAGGGTGGTGAGGCTGAAGCCTGCCTGGGTGGTGGGGCTGCAGCTGGCCAGGACGGTGGGGCTGGAGCCAGCCAGGGCTGTGTATTTTCCTGGCTGCACAGAGAAAGCCTGAAGGCGGGGCAGCTATGCCTCATCTGAGGGCGGCCCTGACCTGACCACCCTCTGAGCTGGCAGAAACTGGGCCCAGGCTGTAGGGTTCTAGGCAGGTGGGACATCGGAGGCTGCCCTTGGCCAGGTAGTCAGGAGGAAAACTGACTTGAAACATTCCTCAGACTCATCAGTGGGCAAGCTCAAGGCCCGGGCCAGAGGCTGGAACCCAGACACATGGGGCAGGGTGGCCTTGGAGGGATGCCCTGGACCCCTGGGCACTTACCTGCAGGGCCCTTCCGCTGGCCGTCCTGGCCGCGGGCGGGTGGCAGGCTACGTGCACATTCCACCCGAGTCTCAGAGCCGCCTTCTGCCTGCTCACAGCGCCCCAGGCCCTTAGGCAGACCTCAGGCCCTCCCCCTCCATCTGCCTGAGGTCCCCTGTTCTGGGTTTCTGCCAGAATGCTCCCTGGGAAGCCCCAAGCTGGTCACGTGCTCTAAATCCCCAGCCTCCGAGTGAGACTCAGTCTCTCTGGTTCTGTTCCCCAGGGCGCGTGCGCGTGTCCAAAATCCTGATCCTGGCCATCCCCCTGGGGATTGCTTTCTCGCTTTCCTCTCTGTTGCTCCCTGGCGAGCACATGCATGCTACAAAACACCTTTAAAAAATAAAAGGGGCTTGTCCCTGGCAGGCAGGTCAGTATCTGAGGAAGTGACTTTATCTTTCTTCATCAGTGAGAGAGAGAGAGCACCCCAGTGGGCTTCCAGCCCTGTGATAACTCCCAGCCGGCCCTGGGTCGTGGGCACATGCCCAGCCTCCCTAGGGAGGGTGACCGTAACCTTGCCATGTGAGCCACCCTCACAGAGCCTTGTTGCCACCACCTCCCTGCCCCAGGAATGGGCTTTCGAGCCGAGCCCTGAAGGGAGGGAGGAAACCGCCAGGAAGATGGATTGGCAGGACCCTGGGCAGGGGAACTGCGACCGCAAAGGCCCTGAGGCAGGACCAGGCTTGGCCTCTTGAAGGAGCCAGCAGGTGTGGCTGGAGAGTGGGAGAAGCTTAGACGTGGCTAGGGAGGTGTGGCCTGGGACATTAGGACGAGTTTAGATTTATTCCCTCGGAATAATTTTAATTAATAGAAAAGTGGCAAAGAGGGGACCAGCAGGTGGCATGGTGGTTAAGGCACTGGACACACTACATGGGCAACCAAGGCGAGTCCCAGACCTGGTGGCTTGCTTTCTCACTTTCTCTCTCTCTCTCTCTCTCTGGTCAAATTAAAAAATAAATAAATAAATGAAGGACCAGCAGTTGGCATAATGGCTACGTCGCTGGACTCCCATGTAGTCAATGTCAGTTTGAGTCCCGGACCCAGAGGCTTAAACTCACACCGGGCACGTGTGCATGAGTGCCCAAGATCCTGAGAGGAGAATGGAGGAGAAGGGATTGTGGCGTGGCTATCTCCCCAGGGGGGGTGATTTCTCGCTTTCTGTCTCTGTCTCTGTCTGCCTTTCTGGCGAGCGCACACGTCCTATAGCAAAAACCTCTCAAAGTGAATAAATAAAATAAAATTAATTAATTCTAAAAAAAAAACAGTGGCAAAGATAGTCCAGGGAGCTCTCGCAGGGAGTCAGGCAGCAGCACATGCCGAGAGCACCGTGCTCGACCCCCATGGAAGGTTCTGGGTTCGTGCCTGGAGACGTCCCTGAGGGTGACGGGCACGTGCGTGCCCAGGCTCCAGGGCTGGTTAGAACTGCAGGTGCACTGCAGCATCAGGACTCCTCATAGACTGTGTACCCAGGTTCTCAAATCGTTGACATCTTAAACTACTCTGCAAATTGATCACAGCTAAGGAGCCAACCTCAGTGCCTTAAGCAAATTTACTGGAAGGCTTTGAGCAGAGAAATGACTTAGGAAAGACTCTCCAGAAGTCAGCCTGGAGCGGCGTCGGTAAGGCCCCTGGATCCCACGGCTGACTGCATGGTTCAAGTCTGAATCTGGTGGCTTGAAAAACATGCCGAGTGCGTGTCCGTGCATGCCCAAGATCGCAAGAGGAGAATGGAAGAGAGAGAGTTGCATCCCCGGGGGGTGCTTTCTCACCACCACCCCTACCCCTACCCCTGTCTTTTGCAAGTGTATGTCCCCTGTAGCACATTTTTAAAAAAAGAAAAAAAGTAGGACCAGCAGTTGGCGTAATGGCTATGTCTCTAGACTCCCATGTAGCCGACTGTGCATGGTTCGAGTCCCGGACCCGGTGGCTTAAACTCATGCTGGGCGCGTGTGCATGCGTGCCCAAGATCCCGAGAGGAGAATGGAGGAGAAGGGATGGCGGCATGGCCATCCCCCCTGGGGGATGATTTCTCGCTTTCTGTCTCTGTCTCTCTCTTTCTGGCGAGCCCATGAGCCCTATGGCAAAATCCTCTCCAAAAAAAGACCCTCTGGCTGCAGTGGGTGGCTGATGGGCGTCCAGGCTAGTACAGGCCTAGCTGGAAGCCAGGGCAGGGACTGAGCGCTGTGGCTGAACTGGAGCCTGTTTTGGCAGACACAGAGGCCCAGACCCCTTTCCCAGTGTTTGCAGAGCACCTCGCAGGGTCTGGTGCATGGCAGGCGTGAACTGAGGGGCTGGACAAGCTGGCAGCTGGGTGGGCCCTGTGGTTGGAGGCGCTGTCTGTGTGCTGTGAGTCCAGGCTGTGCACCGTGGTGTTGGGGGGTGTCTGGTCTGTCTTTGTTCCCTTTGTTCCGAAGGGTGCCATGTGCTGATGGTGGTGGGGTCCGGTGGGGCTAGAAGTAGGTTCTGGACAGAGGCCTTGCAGGCAGGCTGAGACCACATCCCTCCTCTCTGACTTCTCCTTTCAAAGCAGTGTTGATCCCCAGGTGGGAAGCCCTCCTCTCATCCATGGCAGTGGCTCCATAGAGATGTGACTGAAACCCAGGGACATCACACAAGGGACATCGAACACTGTCCCGCCTGCTGGGTACAGCCTCAAATCCGCTGTAGCTGATTTCATTACAAAGTCGGGGTCCTAGCAGTTAGTGTAATGGCTTTGTCGCTGAACTCCCATGTAGTCAACCATGGTTCAAGTCCTGGACCCAGTGACTTAAACTCACGCAAGGCGCATATGCGTGCATGCCCAAGATCCTGAGAGGAGACTGGAGAAGGGATTGTGGCATGGACACCCCCCCCTTAGGGGATAATTTCTTGCTTTCTGTCTCTCTGGCGAGCGTGCCCTATAGCAAAAACCTTTCAAAAAAAAAAAACTTGGGATCCTGATTGTTAGAAGTTGGCCACATGGGGGACCAGCAGTTGGTGTAATGGTTATGTTGCTGGACTCCCATGTAGTTGACCATGGTTCCAGTCCCAGGCCCTGTGGTTTAAACTCACGCCATGCATGTGTGCGTGCGTGCCCAAGATCCCGAGAGGAGAATGGAGAAGAAGGGATTGAGGCATGTCCATCCCCCCTGGGGGGGGTGATGTCTTGGTTTCTGTCTTTCTGACGAAGTGCACATCCCTATAGCAAAAACCTCTCAAAAAAATTAAATAAATAAATAAATAAATAAAAATAATAAGTTAGCCATTTTTACTTTTTTTTTTTAGAATTTAAAAAATTTAATTCCATTTGTTGTTGTTACTCTTTTGACCAGAGAGAGAGAAAGGGAAAGCAAGAAAGAAAGCCACCAGGTCTGGGACTCGAACCACGGTTGGCCATGTGGGAATCCAGTGCCTTAACCACCATGCTACCTGCTGGCCCCCTTTGAATTATTTTTTAGTTGCCAGAGGGCACATGTGCCCACGGGGAGAAGGCAGAGTGACCACGCCCTACTGCAATCCCTTCTCTTCCATTTCTCTGTTCCATTGGGCTCTCAGGCGTGCACACACATGTGCCTGCTGTGTCAACCCACCAGGTCCAGGACCGGAACCACCTTTAGCTATGTGGAATCTGGCTCCCTTTAACTACCAGGCCACAGGGACCAATTGGGACATTTTTAAATGCTGCATCGACCAAGCAGAACCTGTCTATCAGCCCCTTTCTGCCCTTGGGCCATGACTGTCTTCTGGCCGCTGTCATGGAGGCTGCCCGTGACCCCCGTGGGTGTTGCATGGCCGACCTGAACTGGCGGCCACAGAAGTGCCCAGACCGGCCTGTGAAGGAGGGCTGACGTGGCTTCTGCCTTCCCTGCAGTCGAGGAGGCTAGACGAGCTGATTGAGAGCGGGAAGGAGGAAGGCATGAAGGTAAGGGCTGCGGCGCCCGGGGCCAGGCTGGCAGCGGCGCCCCGGGGCACAGTGGCTGCGCCTGCTTCAGCCCCAGAGGGTCGTCGTGGCCCGCAGGCCCCGTGAGGTTATCCAGGAACCGAGAGTTTGGTAAAATACTCTAGTACCGTGCTCACCACTAACACTTTCCAAGTGGACAGCTCAGTGGCGTTTAGTACATTCACATGCCACCCACCGTCCCGTCTACTCCCAGGACTTTTCCACCCTCCTGAACGGAAGTCCTGGCCCCATTGCCGTCGCCCCGCCCCACCCACCCTGGCACCACAGACCTGCCGTCTGCCCCCGCGGCTCTGCCGCTTCTGGGTATTTCCTGGCAGTCGCACCTGTGTGCAGCCGCGCAGCACCTGTGTGCAGCCGCTGGTTGTCTGGCTTCTTTCGCTCCATGCGATGCCTGGGGAGGCTCATAAGAAGAAAAATTGGTGAAACCCCTTCCCGGGTAATGGGAAAGCCCACGAAGTTTGCTTCTCTCTCGGTATATTTCAAACACATTCGGCTCGCCGGGGGGGAGTTAATTCTCTACAGCACGGGCCACACAGGTTTGAGCCAGGACCCAGGGTCAAAATGCTTCACGTGCCGCTGCCCACCGGCTTGGGGGCTCCGAGCGCAAGTCCTGGGTCCCTGGAGCACCCACCTTCCCGCTGCATTAATTGTAACAGAGTGCGGGGAAACACGGGGGTGGGGGTGGAATGAAGGCATCTCGGAACTGGGTCCTGCTTTGCACCCAGAGAGGCCCAGCGCATGGTGCCTCAACAGAGAGGCCAAGGAGTGGATTTGCTTCCCCGCCACTTCCTAGCAGTAGGGTGGGCCTTGGACACAGGCTCTGCCTCTCTGAGCCTCCGTTTCCTCATCTGCAAGATGGGGCAGTACCTGCCTAGCAGAGCCCTGAGGATCTGATATCACAGCGCTTTGCAGAGGGGCACAGAGGAACTTCGTGGGTGATGGAAGCATCTCAAGCTGGATCGAGGTGCAGTGTCACCACTGTGTGCCTTTAATAAAGCCACCAAACTGCACGTAGAGTGGCTCTGTGGCACACCTCAGCAGAGCTGTTCCAGCGTGGGCTGCGAGCCCAAGCTCCTGGGAAGCCCGCCGTGCGTGGGGCTCCGTTGCTGTCATGAACCGATTCTCTCGTCACCTCCTGTCAGATCGACCTCATTGATGGCAAAGGCAGGGGCGTGATCGCCACCAAGCAGTTCTCCCGGGGAGACTTTGTGGTAGAGTACCACGGAGACCTCATCGAGATCACTGACGCCAGGAAGCGGGAGGCTCTGTACGCACAGGACCCGTCCACGGGCTGCTACATGTACTATTTCCAGTATCTGAGCAAAACCTATTGGTAAGTCCACGTGCTCTGAGGGGCTCTGGGGCTCCCTAGGCAGTGACGGCAGGGGGCAGCCTGGGAGCCATGGCAGCCTCGAGGTCTTGGTTGGGCGTCCGGTGGCAACCCTGCTGCCTTTTACCAAAGCTGCAGTGCAGTCCCCTACCCCACACCAGCGCTTTCGTTTTTCTTTAAGACAGAGAGGGGCAGGTATTTTTGACATGGTCTCGCTGTGTCCTGACCCTCCTCCCCCAGCTCCCAGTCAGCGCCCCTGCCCTGGGCATGTTCAGGTCGGCCTGGGAGCTCCTGAGGGCCCCAGCCTCCTGGGCGGGGTCACCCACTGCAGCACCACGACTAGACCCACTCTGTCTCTGATATTCGGAATTAGAGCTCTTCTGGATGCTGCTTCCTCCTGCAAGGAGCAGAAGGGACGAGGTGCCTGCATGGGCACTCAGCTGCCTCGCGCGCTACGGGGCACTTGGCCACCAGCGCTCTGGAAATCAGTCGCTAATCGCTCCTTCCTGGTTATGGCCCGTGGAGTTGATGCTTGTCAGGTTTTAAATCTCATCCCTGAAGTTGCCTCCTCTGCCTCTTATAGAGCTCTTTAGAGTCTGCGCTCCCCTCCCCAGCACCCCTCCAGGGCTCCTCCAGGCTCTAAAAAGTAGCTTTCTGAGATGAACTGCTCCCCACAAATGTGGCCGTAATTGCCATCCCACTGGAGCTGAGAGCAGGCACGAGTAGGAGTAAAGCCTCTCTGAGTTTAACCGTCAGGGCCAGACAGCAGCACAGCAGCAGAACCGACGTTCCACGAGCTGACCGCATGGGAGGGTTCTGGATTTGCATCCAGAGACCTCCCGGGACGTGACAAGCACACAGGTGCCTATGAGCCAGGCTTGGTGAAGCTGGGGGTGGCTCACAGTGTTAGGACCTTGTTGGGGGTACTCTCTGTCTCACTCGTGAAAGAAAGAAAGAAACCGTTTTTTAAAAAAGATACTAAAAAACAACTTGAGCCAGCAGATGTAGTGGGCAAGGTGCTGGACTCCCACATAGCTGACGGCGGCTTAGGTCCTAGACCCAGTGGCTTGAAAAATTACACCGGGAACATGTGCATGCACGTCCCAAGTGGCAGAATAGAGACGGGGCTGCAGCGTGGCCACTCCCCCGAGGGGTGGTCTCTCCTTTTCCCTCTCTGTGTCTCTCCTCACTGGGCAAGTTCATGTGCCCTATGATGAACCCTTTAAAAACAAACAAACAAAAACCAGTTTGGCCAATTGTAGCATGGTGGTTAACGTGGCTGGATCCCACATGACCGATTGTGTGGTTCAAATCCAGGACCTGGCAGCTTGAGAAACACTGGGCATGTGTGCACGCGTGCCCAAAATGCTGAGAGGGGGGAGAAATGGAGAAGGGATTGCAGCATGGCTATCGCCCACAATGGTGACTTCTGTCTGTCTGTCTCTGGTGAGCACATGCCCTACAGCAAATACTAACAAAAGACGGTTTAACCCTCTGCGCCTGTCCCCACCAGCGTGGATGCGACTCGAGAGACCAACCGCCTGGGGAGGCTGATCAACCACAGCAAGTGCGGGAACTGCCAGACCAAGCTGCACGACATCGATGGGGTTCCGCACCTCATCCTCATCGCCTCCCGGGACATCGCGGCCGGCGAGGAGCTGCTCTACGACTATGGGGACCGCAGCAAGGCTTCCCTCGAAGCCCACCCGTGGCTGAAGCACTAGCTGGCCATCCCCGCCCCACCTGCCCTTCAAAGGACAAAGTGCCCTCAAAGGGAATTGATTTTTTTTTTTACATACTTAATCTTAGCGAATTACTTCAGATGTTTTTAAGAAGTATATTAAGATGCCTTTTCACTATAGTATTTAAATATCTGTTACAGGTTTCCAAGGTGGACTTGAACAGATGGCCTTACATTACCAAAACTTTTATATTCGGGTTGTTTTTGTACCTTTTTGCATACGAGTTGGACGTTCGTGCTTCCCGTGCATGCAGTCGAAGACTCGGCACAGGCTCTAGAGGAAAGAGTCCGGGCACTAGGAAGCCAGCCAGCCTCCTGCCCCCGCTGAGCCAGGACTTCCCCTGCACCCGAGTCTGAGGACTGGCGGGTGTGAGGACGACGCTGCCTCCGACAGCCTGGACGGGATGTCTCCAAGCTCTTGTTCTCCCAGCGTCTTGCCAGGCGCGTGCTGAAGTGTATGAATATTTTTTAAAAGAGGTTTGCAGTAAGCTAGTCTTCCCCTCTGCTTTCTTGAAAGCTTACTGCCCCGTGGCCCGTGGGCACGGGCCGCCGCTTCTCTGGGCACCTGGACGCATCAGGGCGGGGAATCAAAGTAGACGCGGGCAGGGAAAAGCATTGCTTCCCTCCCCCTGCCGGGGCAGGGTTTCCCGAAACTGGGTTCCTTCTTTATAGAAATGTGAACACTGAATTTATTTTAAAAAATAATAATAAAAAAATTTTAAAAATAAACCAAAAAAAAGTCACAAAAAGAAAAAAGAAAAAAACCACAGAAAACAACTTACATGGATATAGGTCTGGAAGTCAGTGCAGTGGCTGCGACTTTTGGGGATTTTTGGTTTTGATTTTTTGTTTTGGTAGAAGAGGTTCGAGATGGTACTCTGCTCTAATCAGAAGTCAAGTTTTGTAGCGGGACCAGAAATTACTTACCCGATGCCCTCCCCACCCGATTCTGCTGGGCTGGAAGTTCCAGACCTGCTGTCAAGGCCTTCTGTGTGTCAGACCACCCGGTGTCCTTCCTGTGAAGACGCAGCCATGAATTGGAGTGTGAGCAGACGAGCCCAGGACCCCTGCTGCAGCCACCATGGCCAGCCTCAAAGAAAGGCACCGGCCGGGAGTGTGGGTGAGCGGGCAGGGCCGGACCGCCCAGGGACCCAGGATCAGGCTGCTGTTCTCACCCCGACTGTGATGGCAGGAGTAGGGGGGACAGATTGTCCCACAGTTCACCTTCAGTCCAGGGGGCAGGGCTCGGGAGCATGACCTGGGGTCTCCTGCCTGGCCTGGTCCCAGGTAAATGTGAACGGAGACAGGTACGAGAGCCTGTCCTCTTCCTCGACTCCCCCACCCGGTCCCTCCACGGTGCTACCTAAGAAAGTCTTCCCCCACCCACAGCAAATTGGAGGAGGATCCGACAGGAGTGTGTAAACGTGAGGTGAAATGTCTTGGTTGTACCTGTTTGTGGTTTAGCTTTGTATTTAAACAAACAAACAAAGGAAATAAACTTGAAATTAAATTGTCATCATAAAAACGAAACAAAAATTAAAATATTTATTGCCAGGCAAGGCTCATCTGTGTGTGTGTTTCTCCTTTTACCAAGCAGAGGTAAGAAAAAGGACTTGAGGTTTTGTTTTATCTGCATTTGTAGAGCACGCGCATGCTCAGAAGAGAGGTGTGCACCCCACAGATCCGGGCACAGTGAGTTCTCTAGGGTGTCTCAGGTCTCCATGTGAGGCCTGGCGTTTTTTTTTTTTGGGGGGAGAGGTTTTTGCTATAAGGGCGTGTGCGCTCACCAGACAGAGAGAGACAGAGAGACAGAAAGCACGAAATCACTCCCCAGGGACGATGGCCATGCTGCAATCCATTCTCCAGGGATCTTGGGCATGGACACACATGCGCCTGGCGTGAGTTTAAGCCACTGGGTCCGGGACTTGAACCGCAGTTGACTACACGGGAGTCCAGTGATACAGCCATTACACTAACTGCTAGTCCCAGGCCTGGCTTTTTAAAGAGGCTTTTGCTTTACGGTATTTGTACTCATGGGGAAACAGAAAAGAAATCACTCCCCAGGGACGATGGCCATGCTGCAATCCATTCTCCAGGGATCTTGGGCATGCACACACATGCACCCGGTGTGATTTCAAGCCACCAGGTCTGGGACTTCAACTGTGGTGGGCCATGTGGGAGTCCAGCAATGTAATCACCATACCATCTGCTGGTCCCATGGTTCTATTCATCTTAAGGTAACATGCCAGTATGAGTCTTAGATTTTTTTTTTTTTTAAGAATGATTTGACCAGAGAGGGACAGAGCAAGAGAGAAAACTTGAGCCATGGTCAGCCATGTGGGAGTCCACTGCCTTAACCACCACACCACCTGCGGCCCGAGTCTTAGCTTCGAAGAATGCCCTCCAAGGGAAGGAGAGCTTGCTGATGAGACATTGAGCCTGTCCCTGAACTGGAAGCCCAAGTCCCTCACTTCCCTCATCTGCAGTGGGTCACAGGGTGCCTGTGAAGATGGACGTTCATGCCTTTGTAAGTTCTTGCTGCTACAACTGTCATTGCCTTTTAAAATTACTGTTTGCAGTAGTGTGTCTGCCTCAGACAGGGAAAGCGAGAAAGCACCACCCATGCAGCACGGTCCTGCCACAGTCCCTTCTCCATTTCTCCTGTTGGATTTTGGGCATGCCATGGCATCTTTCTCAACACGTCAGGTCTGGGTCTTGAACTGCAGTTGGCCACCATGCCACATGCTGGCCCCATCGTTGCTGTTTCTGACTGACTGAGAGTTGGTTCTCAGCAAGTGCCTCAGAACCAACATGCCTGTTCTGTGCCGGAATGGGAGTCTCCTGCCAGCTCAGGTCTCTGTCCCCCACCTGTCCCACTGCCCATCCTCACTAGTTCTTCTGTCCCAGAATGTGGCCGTCAAAGCAGGCAGTGGGCGGAGCCCTTGGTTTAGGGGCGAGAGACCCAGACCCAGTGTCAGCTTCAAACACTGGCCAACCATGCGACCTCGGGCCAGTCACTTTTCCTGTCTGAAATTCACTCATCAGTAGAAGCAGCCCCTGCCCCCCCCTGCTTTGCAGGGGTGTCCTGAGGACTGAGGTGTCAGTACATCCTCGCCTGGGAGGGGACAGTGTGGTCTGATGAGCACACGTGTGCTCAGGCCCCCAGAACAGAACCTCTGGTAACAGTCCACTTAGCTGTAACCTTGGGCTGGTCCCCAACCTCCCTGTGCACACCCCTCTGTAAGCCAGTGGTAGCACTGTATGGACCCCAGGACTTAGCTACGGGAAGAGCACCATACCGGAGCCTTGCACATCGGTGACCCTCAGTCCTCGTTAGCTGTCATCAAGAAGAAAAACATGGAGGGTTGCCATTCACTGTTTACAAACCCCTAGCACTGATAACTATGAAAATGCCTCCATGTTCTGATATTTATGGAATTTTTGAAAATAATTATTTAACTATTCATTTTAATTTGACCAGAGGGGGACAGAGTGAGAGAGGGAGGGAAAGTGGGAAAGCAATCCGCCAGGTCAGGGACTTAAACCATGGTCAGCCATGTGGGAGTCCAGCACCCCTAACCAGCATGCCACCTGCTGGTCCCTATTTATATATTTTAAAGTTTATTTCATGAGTGAGAAAGTACCCTCAACAGGATCTTCTTGATGGTGCAGTCCACCCTTAGCCTCAGCCAACTGCAGACCCTGGGTCTATGCATGTCCAGTGAACTCAGGGTCTTTGGACACAATCTTGGAACCTTCTATGAGGGTCGGCCTTACAGAGCATTGTTCTACTGCTATGCCACCATTGGGTCCCTTTTTAAAACACCACCAGGTCTGGGACGCGAACCACGCAGTGGACCACGTGGTATCCAGCTGCCTTAACCAACTGGCTGGCCCAAATTGTTTTTCTTTATTCATGAATATGTGTGTGCACATGAGGGGGAGAGAGAGGAGCACCTTCCCCAGGGTTCTGCCCCACCCTGATCCCCCCCATCCTCCAGCCTTGCAGTTCTTTCACTCTCGCCAGAGTGCCCGTGGTCACCATATTAAATCTGGTTTCCTTGAACGAGGCGTTAGTGTTGTACCACAGGGCTGGCCCCAAGTTCTGTAACTTAGTTGGTATATTTATTTGTTCTTCTTTTAAAGATAATTGCTACAGCAACCACTTCTTATGCCTTGGCAGGCCTGGCTGGAAAACCTGCTTCTAAGCCAGCTCCTCCCCGTGCTGGGTGTGTGGTTGGAAACCTGTGGTGTGGGAGAAGCCAGCGCCCAGCGGACACGCAGCCTATCATCTGTGGTTTCCGCCAGGCCCGTCTCTCGGAGAAATGCTCCCAGGACTCGCCTGCCAGGCTACAACTGTCATTGCCTTTTAAAATTACTGTTTGCAGTAGTGTGTCTGCCTCAGACAGGGAAAGCGAGAAAGCACCACCCATGCAGCACGGTCCTGCCACAGTCCCTTCTCCATTTCTCCTGTTGGATTTTGGGCATGCCATGGCATCTTTCTCAACACGTCAGGTCTGGGTCTTGAACTGCAGTTGGCCACCATGCCACATGCTGGCCCCATCGTTGCTGTTTCTGACTGACTGAGAGTTGGTTCTCAGCAAGTGCCTCAGAACCAACATGCCTGTTCTGTGCCGGAATGGGAGTCTCCTGCCAGCTCAGGTCTCTGTCCCCCACCTGTCCCACTGCCCATCCTCACTAGTTCTTCTGTCCCAGAATGTGGCCGTCAAAGCAGGCAGTGGGCGGAGCCCTTGGTTTAGGGGCGAGAGACCCAGACCCAGTGTCAGCTTCAAACACTGGCCAACCATGCGACCTCGGGCCAGTCACTTTTCCTGTCTGAAATTCACTCATCAGTAGAAGCAGCCCCTGCCCCCCCCTGCTTTGCAGGGGTGTCCTGAGGACTGAGGTGTCAGTACATCCTCGCCTGGGAGGGGACAGTGTGGTCTGATGAGCACACGTGTGCTCAGGCCCCCAGAACAGAACCTCTGGTAACAGTCCACTTAGCTGTAACCTTGGGCTGGTCCCCAACCTCCCTGTGCACACCCCTCTGTAAGCCAGTGGTAGCACTGTATGGACCCCAGGACTTAGCTACGGGAAGAGCACCATACCGGAGCCTTGCACATCGGTGACCCTCAGTCCTCGTTAGCTGTCATCAAGAAGAAAAACATGGAGGGTTGCCATTCACTGTTTACAAACCCCTAGCACTGATAACTATGAAAATGCCTCCATGTTCTGATATTTATGGAATTTTTGAAAATAATTATTTAACTATTCATTTTAATTTGACCAGAGGGGGACAGAGTGAGAGAGGGAGGGAAAGTGGGAAAGCAATCCGCCAGGTCAGGGACTTAAACCATGGTCAGCCATGTGGGAGTCCAGCACCCCTAACCAGCATGCCACCTGCTGGTCCCTATTTATATATTTTAAAGTTTATTTCATGAGTGAGAAAGTACCCTCAACAGGATCTTCTTGATGGTGCAGTCCACCCTTAGCCTCAGCCAACTGCAGACCCTGGGTCTATGCATGTCCAGTGAACTCAGGGTCTTTGGACACAATCTTGGAACCTTCTATGAGGGTCGGCCTTACAGAGCATTGTTCTACTGCTATGCCACCATTGGGTCCCTTTTTAAAACACCACCAGGTCTGGGACGCGAACCACGCAGTGGACCACGTGGTATCCAGCTGCCTTAACCAACTGGCTGGCCCAAATTGTTTTTCTTTATTCATGAATATGTGTGTGCACATGAGGGGGAGAGAGAGGAGCACCTTCCCCAGGGTTCTGCCCCACCCTGATCCCCCCCATCCTCCAGCCTTGCAGTTCTTTCACTCTCGCCAGAGTGCCCGTGGTCACCATATTAAATCTGGTTTCCTTGAACGAGGCGTTAGTGTTGTACCACAGGGCTGGCCCCAAGTTCTGTAACTTAGTTGGTATATTTATTTGTTCTTCTTTTAAAGATAATTGCTACAGCAACCACTTCTTATGCCTTGGCAGGCCTGGCTGGAAAACCTGCTTCTAAGCCAGCTCCTCCCCGTGCTGGGTGTGTGGTTGGAAACCTGTGGTGTGGGAGAAGCCAGCGCCCAGCGGACACGCAGCCTATCATCTGTGGTTTCCGCCAGGCCCGTCTCTAGGAGAAATGCTCCCAGGACTCGCCTGCTAGGTCACACACCAGCACCGGCTTTTACCAGCAGTGGCTTCTCCAAGCGTTCCCCACTGTAATGTTCTGAGTCTCTCCCAGGGTACGGGCCGACAGGACTTAGAACGGTACCGGAGTCTTGCACATGGGTGACCCTCCGTCCTCGGTAGCTGTTTTTCGCAAGGGGTTACCAGGGCTGACTTAACTTGACACTTCTTTCTGAGCAGGTTCTAGGTCTCCATGAGGGAGAGATGCAGGTGATGGGCACGAATGCCTTTTCGAATGGTAATTCGTGACCACCGTGTGTCTGCTCCCAGAGTTATGGCCAGGCCGCTCCCTGTAGACGAGAAAACTGAGCCAGAAAGGCCCAGGTGTGGAGGGTCGGTGCTGCAGCTGGGCTATGGATGGAAGGCTGGCACCGTGGAGGACTGGCCCCAGGCTGGCCTGGTGGCCCCAGGCGCTGGCCCTGCTCCACAGTCCTGCTGAGGAGGCAGCCCCTGCCCACTCTGGAACTCGCCTGTCATCTTGCTGCCCCGGTGTGGTTTCTGCATGTGGTTCTGAATGCGGGATGGGTTTGGTCCTGTGTTGGCTCTCACCCTGGGGTGTAGACGCTCCCCTGGGGTGTAGACTCTCTTCCCTCCCCTTTCCTTTTATGGGGGAGCCCCTGGTCAGGGATGCAGCGGCTTCCACCTCCTGGCCGTACCAAGGGGACAGTACTGCCCGTCTCAGGGTTGTGGTGAGACAGTCCAGGTCAGGTGCTTAATGGTGCTAGGCGAGGCACACAGGAAGCTGTCCTTAATACTACTGGGGGGATGCGGATGGCGTGGTGGTTAGGCCACTGGACTGCCACGTAGGTGACTGCAGTTCGAGTCCCAGACCCAGTGACTTAAAACACGCCAGGTGCATGTGCGTGCATGCCCCAGATCCTGAGAAAATGGGAGAAGGGACTGCGGCGTGGCCATACCCCCGGGCGTTGATTTATCTCTTCTTGTCTCTGTCTCTCTGGCAAGCACATGTGCCCTACATCAAAAATTTCTTTAAAAAAAAAACAACAAAAATATACTACTGGGGGCTGGGCGGTGTGCAGATTGCTCTGCGAGGCTGACCCACGTGAGAAGGTTCCTGGTTCGCACTCATAGACTGCCCTAAGTATGCCGGCATTTGCATGTACCCGTGACCCAGTGCCGGCTGAGGCTAGGAGCAGGCTGCAATGAAGACCCTGTCAAGGCCCCAGTCTGGAGGCTTAGTCAGTAGCAAACAACTGCAGTGCTAGAAGCTGATAGCTGCAGGTTCAGATCCCTGGGTTTGCCTGGAAACATGCCAGGTACATGTGCATATGTCCAAAATCCCCTGAAGAGTTGGAGGATGAGGAATTGAAGCCTAAAAAGACCCTGGTCCAAGGGTGCTTCTCTCTCACTCTCTCCAGTGCACACACATACACAAAGCCTATCATGAAAAAAATAAACATAAAAAGACTCTTAGGGCCAGCATATAGCATGGTGATTGAGGCGGTGGACTCCCATGTGGCTGATCACAGTTTGAGTCCCGGGCCTGGCAGCTTGCTTTCTCACTGTCCCTTTATTTGTTTTATTATTTATTTATTTATTATTTTTTGAGAGAGATTTTCGCTATAGAGCATGTATGCTCACTAGACAGATACACAGAAAGTGAGAAATCACCCCCCGGGGGGATGGCCATGCCACAATCCCTTCTCCTCCATCCTCCTCTTGGAATCTTGGGCATGCACGCACACACGCATGGCGTAAGTTTAAGCCACCAGATTCAGGACTTGAACTGCGGTCGACTACATGGGAGTCCAGTGACACAGCCATTACGCCAACCAGCCAACTGCTGGTCCCTCAGACCTAGCAGGGTTTTTTTGTTTGTTTTTTTCCTAGCATTTTTAAAACACACCAGGCGCAAGTGTGTGTGTGCCCAAGATGCCTAAAGGAGGGAGATGGAGAAGGGATTACGAGGTGAGTATTCCCATGGGGGGATGGTTTCTCCCTTTTCCTCTCTGTCTTCAGCAAGCAACATACCCTCTGGTAAAACAAAACAACCAATAGCATCTTAAAGTTGTAATTTGCATCATTTTTTTCTTTCATAATGACAATCGCGGTGCATCATTTAGTCAGTTAAAAATATACGTGCGCTGTTTTCTTGCACACACGTCCCCACCACGTATACCATCCGGCTCTAGGAGACCACTCTAAGGGGCAGCTATAGGAAGCATGAGAGTCATTCTCCTTTAATGCAAAAATACA